CAAGCAAACATATATATCTGCGATCGGGGTCTGATACCACACCAAGCCGGGGCTTAACTTACCCACCCACTGAAGTAAGGTTAAGTGACTTCACACAATACCTAAACCACCAGCTATGGGTTTTTTTTTTTTTACAGGCCACCAAGACGGGATTTGCATAAACTATTAAACCCAAAGGAAACACCCTTCAGGCAGGGGGAAGTCGCCCTAGAACTACCCGCCCCCACGCCGTGGCGGTCAGCTTTGGCTCAGAGGTTGGGGTGCCTCTCTTTCTGGGCGCAGCCTTTAGCCCCCGCTCGCCGAGCCTCCCGCCTTAATACGGTAGCAACGAGAGTTCCGAATGATTCTTTAATGTCTCGTTGGATTTCTCGCCTGCTAATGTAGCGCGTCCCTCTCATTATTACTTTATTGATTGCTCATTGACCAGCCCCCTCCAAATCGTATTAACCCTCCCCCTCGCCACTTTAGATTAAGAGAAGGGTGGGTGTCTTCCTCCCCCAAGACAGAGCCATTCGCTCTTCTGCTCCAGCCCGGTGGCCAGGGATCAGCTCAGGTGCTGGGGAGTGGGGGGGGGGGCGGCTTTCCTGGCAGGGCTGCCCCGAGCCGAGGAGGCAAACTCGCCGCCTGGTGCCTTAATAGCTCAAAGGGGGCTAATGCAGAAAATGAGCCTTTAAACGAGCTCTGGAGATCTCCAAATGAAAGCGCCGTTTATCACGCTGGCTACCTCCCCTCCATTCGTTTGCTCTCCCTACTGGGAACAACTCATTTCCCCTTAACTAAATTACTTCAGAAATGTCAAGGAAGCCCGGATCGCAAACATCACCAGACCGGGAGGGGTCATGGAGGGAGGGGGTGAAGAGAGGGCTGCGCAGCCGCGTCATATTGCATCTCAACCCGGTAGCGATGCAGAAAATAAGAGTCAATGAACCCACCTTTTTTTTGAGAGAGAGAGAGAGAGAGAGAGAGGGGAGAGGGAGAGGGAGAGAGAGAGAACTCCGCAAGACCAAGTCTTAAAACACAGAAAAATCTGTCATTTAGCATGGATTTATTAGGAAAGAGGCCCTGTATTTTTAAGTATCTGCTGTAAATTATGACTAGGGCGAGGAAGGAATAAAGTTCTAGATAGCTGGATTTTGGATGCCATGGGAAAAGGCATTTTTTATTTTCCAGTAGAATGCAGTAAATTAGCATTTCGATCCGAATCTCCTGTTCTTTCGTGTGTAAGTGCCCCGCCGTACTTAGTGGCTGGGTTCACGCAATACGATACCAAAACGCATTGGCTTAACTAAAACCCAACGAAGTAAACGTTTTGGAACCAAATTACCACGCTGTTCATTGTGGCTCAGCAAATTGTGCAAACCAGGCAAAATAATTATTATTGCTGGCGATGGTAGGAGATCTTAAGATTGTGACTGGGGGAGACTCTCGGCCATGATTTGGGTCAATCCCATTTTCTCGGCTATCTTACCTCGCAGGGCTGTTGTCTGAAGCGAAACAGATCTTGTCCTGGGCTCAGATATAAGAGCATGCTAAAGACAATACTAAACACCACCACTGAGGTTTGTTAACCATGATTAATAGGACTCTTTGTGCCAAGGCAGCCACGAGTGAGCTGTCCCTCTTGAAATGGAGTTTGTGCTTGAGAGGTTTTTGGTGTGTGGTGGCTGGTAGAATGTAAGGTATATTGAACTACTGTTGCTCAGTCCGATTACAGGACAGGTTGCTATCTTAAGCTTTTACTTGAATCTTAACCCGGTTAGCTGTATATCTCTAATTTGGGAGACAAGAAGGGATGAAAGTGGATAAACGGAAGAGGACGAAAGGAAATGGGGGGGGGACTGTTAAGATGTAGAAAAGGTGATGTGGGAGAGAAAGGAGGGGCACACATTGAGGCCAAAGAAGCATTTTTTTAAAAAGGCAGATACGGCCATTTCTTAGAGGCCCCAGCGCTCATAAAAACAAGGCTCAGTCTAAAGGATGGGTTATTTGTATTAATACTTTATCTCTTTAGTGTATCTTGGTCAAGGGTGTTTTTGTGCTAGGAAAATAGGGAGAGGTCTGAGTAACAGAGGATCCAACCCCCATTCTCCATGGATTCAGCAGATGAGAGAGAGACAAGAAGCCATCGGAGGCATCTTATCCGTAGGGATGCTCCCCTTCGTGGTTAGCAAATGCCCAACAACGAAACCACCGTAAATTAGCCAAGGTACTTTAGCCAAATATATTGTGCAAAGCTGAACATAGTTAATTAGACAAATTAACGGTTCAGTTGACCAAGTTGAAGTCCCCCGACCTGATATTTAGTGGACAATAGAGCCTGGTAGGTGGTATCTAGGGTGAGGGAAGTTCTCAAGCTAGAGAAGGAGTTACCTTCCCAGGAGCTATTCTAAAGAATAGTTAATACATTTCAAGACGAGGATAATAAACTTACTCACCTGGAAATTAACCCCGGGGGGCTTTCAGTGAAACAGATGTCCGAGAAACACTCTATTCCTAGACTATTTATTCCAAAATAAGCTCCACGAAGGCCATTTCTTCACTCGTGATTTATAGCATTATCCACCCATCGCGGGGCCGACATAATAATGAAGGCAGGCTTCTGTGGCCACACCGATAGTTAGGGCGATGCTATAAATCAGTTCTAAGAAAATGCCTCAAGGCCCATTTTCCAATCCTAAACACCCTTAGCGTTTCATGGGTGAAGACACTTCGGATTGCGTATCTAAGATTGAATTGTTGAGCAGATGAGCAAAAATCAGTTTCAAGCCGATTTCTTTTTTTTATGTCAAGTTTTTATTTTATTTTATATTAGTTTCAAGCTAATTTCTTCGTGCCCAACTCTCGTTTACTTAAGGATCTGAAAAGAATGGAGCTACGGTACTTCTGTCCAGCGTTCCTGAATTAGTGCATTTATTTTTCAAATTCTGCCTCGTTCCAGAACAACGCCCCTTATTAAGCAGGCGTTTCTATGAACTCTCCTGGAAGGTTGATTTCCAAATTGACTGGCGAGAAAACTAGATCCCAAGTTAAGCCTGAGGAGATCGATGGGATCTTACGACAGGTGCCCCCCCCCAAGCAGAGCGCAGATTTTGGCCCCAGACTAAACCCAGCCGGATCCCAAACCTCTGGAGCAGGGGGTCCCCAAACTTGGCAACTTTTGGACTTGTGAACTTCAACTGCCAGCATAGCTGGCTGGAGAATTCTGGGAGTTGAAGTCCACAAGTCTTAAAAGTTGCCAAGTTTGGGGACCTCTGCAGTCTGGGGGCATCCAGGTCAGCTTGCGGAGCATGCAAACGCCCCACGCGTGAGACAAGGCAAGTTTCTAATTCCACCCGAGGGCCGAAAGAACGGGGGGGGGGGGTGGGGAAACACTCGAACTGGCCCAAACCCCGAGAGCTGCTTGATTTGTTCTCCAACAGGCATTCTAGGTGAAGAAAAATCCCAATAGTTTGGATCCGGTTGTTCCTATTGGTGGGGTGAGCACAGAGATAACCAGGAATGAGCTTTCACGCTTCTCGGGGAGACCAGCTGAATTGCAGCGCTGCCTTTCTGCTGCTAATTAAAAGCTCGCTCCTTCCCTCCTCCAGCAGCTTTGCGCAGGGAGGGGGTGGGGGCGTGTCTCCCTCCGAGCCTGTCAAAAGAAATTCAAAACGGGGAGGAGGGGGCACGAAGCAGCTGCAATACGCCCAAAATGAGTTATTGTAATTACATTTAATTAGTTTAATTAGTTAATTATTTTGCTTACAGCTGTACAAGAGATTGCAAACATTTGTTAAGATCGCGTTCCCTCTACTAGAGTGGGGCGAAGCCGCACACTTACACTAAATCACGTATGTCTGTGTAGACAAATGGAGGGGGGAATCCCACTCTCCTCGCCTTTTCCTCCTGAGGGGCTCGGTCCCCTCAATTCTGGCCCACAAGTCCTGGGCGGCTAAAAAAACAAATAAAAATCCAACATCCCACCAAGGAAGACCAATGCCTCCCTCCATCCCCCGCCTGCTTACACAGAAGAGACTGTACCCTTACAAGCAGTGATCGGATTCAAATAATTTAACGACCTCTGCCCTACTGATTTCTTCCAACAACCAGTTCACCAAACTGCTCAGATAGTGAACAACCGGTTCTCCCAAACTGGTGCGAATTGGCTAAATCCCACCACTGCTTACAACCCTAACTGTACCCCTAAGTGCAGCCTTCTGCTGTGGGAGGGTGGATCAGATCTTTTCTACCTATGGTAGATATAGGTACTTAAGCACAAGAGGGAGGTGGGAAATCCCCATCCTTTCAAATGAAAGGTTTTTCCATGAGTGCTAAGAGTACACTCTCTCTCTCTCTCTCCCTCTCTCTCTCTCTCTCTCTCCCCCTCCCTCCCTCCCTCCCTCCCTCCCTCTCCCTCCCTCCCTCCCCCTCTCTCTCTTCCCCTCCCAGGAGCTAACAACAGGGCAGATTTTCATCCCTCCTGGAAATCATACCTCCTACGTGCAAGCAGATTCTGCTCCTATCCATACAGCCTTGGAATATTCAAGCTGCCCCTATTCTAATGCTTGGAAAGAAGCTCCAGCAAAACCGAAAGCACCCTGGTCAAGAATTCGGTCTCCTGCAGGTGACGCTGAGCTAATTCCCACCAGGACTATGAGGAAAGAGGGAAAGGTATTTCCTAGAAAGAGAGAAAAAGGCTCCAAAACAAGCAGTGGGGGGGAAAAGATTTCTTCCAGCCAATTGGCTGCTTCGTTCAATATCTCTATTTCCTGCTCCCGATTACAGTGCTTCAGAATGGTACAATAGGATGCGTATATTGAATCAAATCAGGACACAAGGGCTTTCCTAGAATAGCTTTCTCTGTATACAAAGCACACAATCCCATCCACAACGCTACCTGGAAGAAAACCCCCCCTCCTCCCCCCCATGAAGCTTACTTCCAAGTAAGCCTGAAATCGCCTCTGTAAAGTGCCCACAAACACTCAACAAAACTGTGCAACAATTGGAAAAGTTACCCATACCTTTTTTGATGACCGACTGGTCCAGCAAGTTCATGCCGCTGTTATTAGCATCTTCTACTGCCTAAGGACAGAGGGGGAGAAAGAAGGGGGGGAAAAAAATCACTGTTCAAATTTCCCAGCCCTTAGCAAAAGAACAAAGAGGAGCATAGAGCTGGACGAAGTCCCACACCGCCTCAAATTCATTAATGAACCCCCATGATTTCCAGGAAGAACAATTAATATACTTTTTCCCCATGTTAAAAAGGTATGAAAACGAAGCTTCCTTTTCTTGGGGGGATCTAAGAAAATGTAAGGCGCGATCCTTCTGTTTCCAATGATTTAAGAGGCCAAGTAACCCATTCAAGGCGCTCAGCCTTTATTCCCTGGAGCCTTACAATGTTAGCTTTGGTATTTGTGCAGCCCACTAGCACCTGCAACTAGATGCTTGACAGGTGATAAGAAATTAGCAGTTGGGTGCAAGTTTGCTGGGCAAGAAAACTCTTGAATTTATCGCTGAATTTATCTTCTTCTGACTTATCTTTTCTTGGTGTTGCCTGTGCTCAGCAGGACTTGTCCCAAGAAAACAGGTACAGAGTTTTGCTCTGGGAGAATATAAATGGGGGAGTGGGGACTCTTTGCATTCCTCCTTATAGGAATCAGTGGTTTGCTATAGATTTATTGAGCAACTTATGCAGCTGAGTCTCTGATGGATGTTGGAAATTGACTTCGATCTTGAAATCAACCAAGTTAGTGCAAACTTACTTAAAAGTTACTCAAGTCTCTCCAGTTCACCAACTTCAAGGATTACTATCTGGGGGAGAGGTGTCACCCCAAACACAGTTCAGTATTTAACATGTTCAAGCGTTGAAGTTCTTTTTTTTTTTTTCATTTAAAGCAGATAACTGATCAAATAAAATGTTATTTCAAGAGTTATTTCAGCATTTTGAGTTTATTACCATTTTGAGTTTATTGAGTTTATTATATATAATATATAATGACACTGAACCACAAATACTGGGAATAAAGAGGTGACTTCAGTTTTCATTTATTTCTGTACAGTTGGACTCCTGTCCTTCTGGAGTCTGAGAGGGAGCAAAGAATAGATGGGATGGGTAACTGATCGCATAATGATCATTCTCCCCATAAGGGCAACTTTTACTTTTGGCACTGGAGGCTTCTTACTACCTTATGATTGCTACCTGTGGACAAGGAAGCAAGAGGCCCTCAGCTTTTACAGAGAACTGCCATGTATACAAAAAAAAGGGGGGAAAAAGAATTAGAGCTCCAATGAGGCTTAATTTTAATATTGGTTTGGGTAGCTTGATCTTGTTACTTACCGAAGGTTAAAAAAAACCAAACACGTGTCTCTAGTATGCTAGAATGCAAATCAAAGAATGGTAAACTCTGATTAATCACTAGCCAGTAGGGATGATGGACGTTGGGGGGGGGGGGGAGGGCCGTGTTAGTGTAAGGTGGCAAAAAAACAACAACAGGAGTCTGACAGCATCTTTCCTGACTAATGCATTTCATTAGAGGGCATTAGCTTTCATGACATGCAGCTCACGTAAAGCTCAGGCCTTTCGGTGAAATGCTTCCAAACACTTCAGAGGAGCGTGTCAGGTCGGGGTGCTGTCCTTTCTAGGTTGGCAGATGCAGCGTTGCACCATACCGTACTGTCTTGGGAACCAGTCCTACGGGGTGAAGGGGCTTCAGCTGCTAAACAAGGGGTTTTTGCTGTTAATATTCTCCTGAATGACAATTGCAGCTCCTTATGTGCAGCAACTCACAATGGATAGAAGCAGGAGATTGAAAGGAGTAGGGGATTCCCACCCGCCCTGCAATCAGTTTAATCTCCTCCCATGCGTATCAGAAACATTTCCTGCTACAATTGTAGGAACACCTTCAGTCTGAATTCTGCCTCAGTTTATCAAGAGAGTCTTAATTTCAGAAGTAGGTTCCCTGTTTGCTCTGCCATTAAATAGACAAATTAGCTATCGCGGTTCAGTGATAAAGAACAAATAGAAAGTAAAAACTAGAACATATAATCCCCTCACTTTCTTATACATGGCAAGAACCTGATCTGGTCACACCCTTTCTCTTCTACTTTCTCAGCCCAAGTTAAATATTAAGTTCCCTTAAGTTTACATCAATTTAGGTTGTTGTTTTATAAAAGTTATAGGCTGTCTCGCACTGCCCATTATCTCAAAAATGGTTAATATATTTTAGATCAAGGCACTGTGTGAAGCCGACCATGGTAATTAATGCAGTGCATCCTAGAAATTCCGAAGATAGTGTTGAGTAAACCATTGTTCAATTAACCTTAAATGTCTTGAGTAACCAACAGCCCTAGTTCAGAAGAGGACAGCAGAAACCCAAGGAATTAACTTTGTTCCTCCAAAGGCCTTAGGCTCATTCAGTTGCCCCAGAGCTTCAGAGAACACAAGAAACCTCTCAGCAGGACTCCCAATAATAATTATGCATGGTAGTCAAGGAACAAGATTCAACATAAAACTGGCAACTGATCATATCTATGAAAATCAACCCATCCCAGAGTTTTGGGGCTGAGCCAGTAAGAGGCCAAGTATGGTTCTAGGCACCTTGTGCCCTAAACCAAGGCCCACATTTCTGACTCTCCATTTGGCTGGCAGCCACCATATCATGCCACTCAAGGTTTTCTGAGGTCCAGTCCAGGAGTGGAATTCAAATTTTTTTTTACTACCGGTTCTGTGGGTGCGGCAGGGGAAGGATACTGTAAAATCTCCAGTCAGAGGTGGGATTGGCCGGTTCTCCAAACTACTCAAAATTTCCACTACCGTTTCTCCAGAACTGGTCAGAACCTGCTGAATACCACCTCTGGTCCAGTCCCTTATAATTTGGTCCTAAACACATTGAGTTGGAAGCAGGCAGGAGAGATCAAACAGTCCAGAATAGACCAGAAATCTAAGCAGCCTTCTTCCAGCTCCCATGTCAAAAGATTCACACCCACTACCTGGCAATTTCACTGCCTTCAGAGAATTTATGATCTTGGGCTATATTTTACTTTGTGGCTTTTCTTTGGCAGTGGCACATCGTCATGACGGAACTAATGCACCATAAACTTCCTTCTTTCCATTTCTAGAGCTGCTCATCACATAGGTCCACATCATTGAGTGGGGGGGGGGGGTTGCATCCTACACTGACCCCTAAACTCAGACAAAACACCACATCCCATTCCCCAGCACTCAGTCAGAGTGTGTTGGATGAACCTCACCAGTCACTTTTGCATCTGCAGTACTATCTAAATCTTGGGGAGTGGGTGGAACTTGCCCACAGCAACCTCTCAGCTGGGAGAAAGTTAGAAGATCCCAATAAAGTGATTAAAGATTGTTGCCATGCTCCTTCCGCCTCCTCACATTTATAGTTTCAGCTTTTAAGAACATGGAGAAGCAAACCAGAGTTTCAGCAGTCGTATTGTGGCTCTTCGAAGACCCACAGTTCTCCAAACAACATATCCCACTTTCTCCATAGGGAGGTTTACTTTATGCCGGTAGCATTTGAGGAAGAGGATGGGTTTTCAACTGCAGGTGTCATTTTCTTCCGGGACAGAATGAAATGCGCCACTCTGGCATTATTCTGGGTTCGCGGCTATACTAACCTCCTTCCATCTTCGCGGAGATGGGAAGGTGGACGAATGGTCCTAACTTCGGACAAAGGTTCCACACGACCTCCGCTCCTTTCCGACTCCCCCTCTCCCTCACTCCACAATGTGGTTGAGCTGTTGTAGTTAATGAGAAGAGTCTTGTCTGATTTTCTATCTAATTACGGCCGCCTGCTGAGTTTTTGTACAGGATATTCGCGCAGCATGCCGGCAGTTAATAGTCACAGAGAGAATCGTAAAGATTTAATTAGGACTGCGCGCTTAAACGTGGAAAGAGGCATGCGCGTGCATGGATACCCACCCACCTAACACAAACTCTCACACCCACACACCCCACACACTTTTAATTGTTGGGTTTCTTTAATTGCAAGGGGTTTGCTTCCAGATTTCCTTTCCAGAGGCACTTCAGCTCCCAGAATTTCCCTGGACCTTTCCGGCTAGGGACGATGGGAGCTGAAGTCCAAGCTGAAGTGGGCAGTGGATTGGCGCCCGCCACAGAACTTGATCTGTTTCAACTCCTGTTAAGAGAGGCTGCGAGGCAGAGAAGAGAAGACGGAGAAAGGTTGGAGCAGAGAAGAAGAGAGATCACTGATGACCCACCGCCAATCGAAGACATTTCTCCCCAATCGACTTAATAAAATCAGACTGAGGGCCAGGGGAAGCATTTCTAGCCCGTGGGTTCCTCTTGAACGCTTGCTCGGAATCACATCAAATTTGCCAAAGTGGGTTTGCAGCCTGATGCACACTCCTTGAGCCCCGTGGAAGGCACGTGCCACGAGAACGCCCCGCCAAGGGATTTCTGGCAGAGGGAATTCCTGGGGCTACCCTTCCCATTCTCAACGCTAAAGAGAGCAAGGCTGCAAAATGAGCATTTGGCTCGAGGCTCCATCCAATTGGATGGCGAACCTGTCTCTGAAAACAAAATTGACTCACAACGAGAGAAGCCTAAATGCAAACTTTCAACACCATCTACTTGGGAAGCAGGGCCCACGGCTGAAAACTGTGACGTGAGGAGTAAGCATCCTGGTTTCCCTTTCACCTTCTTCCAGGTAATAAAATTTGCAAGTGGAAGTGGCAAGCCAAGCAAAACCAGTGCATGGCTCACATGGAATTGTGAATGGCGATGTGTACCTGAGAGAACTATCCAAGGTTTCTAATAATGATCTCATACATATTTACCTTAAGCTCTCTTCCACGCACACAGACACACTGTCATGACAGCACTCTGCATGGGTATATATCAAACTTGATATCATTGATAAGTTGACCTTCATATTTTAATTAAAAGCCAGCCAAATTTCCAAAATTGCAAGTATCTTCCTGGCCTTCATATGTGTTTGTGTGTGGGTGTGGGTGTGTTATAACGTTCCCCCTTCTAACTTTAATTTACAAAGGAAATTATGAAACAAATACCAAGTTCCTGGTATAATGTTTGTTACAAATACCCGAAGAGTCCAATCCTATATTTAGAAATAAGTCTCACTGAACTTCGAAGTGAATTTTTTATTTTGAAAATTACAAGAATTCCACCTAAGGACCGAAACTGTTAACCATTCGTGAACTCCTTACCCAGGTCTGTAAAGGATCCAACTTCGAATGGACAGGTCATAGTGGGATCTGTAGATGCAGCTAATTTAATCCGTTTAGCTAAGGCACCTGTCAATCTCACTTAAGTCTGAGTACTTACAGCACAATAAATGGAATGGTTGCTTCAAACCCATTAACACCAAGATACTTTTTTTAAAAAAAATCATCTAAAACAACTTAAAACCGGATCTCTTGAGGGGATAACGGAATGTTTGGACAATCTTGTTCTCCGCTCTTTCAACAGGGTTTCATCCTTACAGGTCAGTCATTGTTAGAGGAACCCAACTTCCACCGAATTGATGGGTGGAAGATCCTAGTCTACGATCTCAAATGGGGGTGGTGGTGTGTTTTTGAGTCAATCTGAAGTTTTTGAGCCGACTTAAAGAGCTGCTTGCCACTACTTCTCACAGAAAAATCCAACTTCTTTAAAAAAAGAAGAAGACTGACCGGGGCAACGTGTGGAGGGCCCAATCTTATTAACCCAAGACCCTGCAACTTACACCCTCCCCAGTCTTGATTACAGCAACCCACAGGCCCTCTTGGATCTACTCTGGGGCACTCTCTCCGTTCTGCCACTCTAGGCACCTTTGGCTTAGAAGCCAGTAGCTTGGAACGCAATTAAAATCTCTCTAGAATAAGCCCGCAGAAGCACGTGGCCAGGGGCAGAATTCTACACACCGGAAGATCCGCCTTTCTCTCAGCAGAACAGAAAATGATGGGCTCCGGATGCGCATTTCTCTCCTTAATTTCTTCCACCTCTACTTGCCCGATTTCTTTGGGTCCCAATCAGATACATTCCTATTCAGCCGACTTTGAAGCGAAGGGAAACGAAGATGTATTTTCTTTCCATTTTCTCTCCCCCACCCCACAATCAGGGCCAAATAAAGTCGTGTATAATAATATAGGAGACACCCCTGGTTCTCCTTATCTCCATTCAGCTAAATTCTAAACAAACAAACCACCGACTTAGAAAGACGAGAACTATTAGAAGGGAAAACAAGGTATCGGGCAAACATCCTTTGAAAATGTAAGCTATTCCTTCCCTTTCTCTGCTTTTGCTCCCGAAAGTGATCTCTAAACGGGGCGGGCATGTTGATTTGCTCCGATAATTCCTGCTAAGCACTTTCTGTTCTGCAAAGGCATAGTTTCAGAAATTTTATAAGAAGTGTATTTCAAAATTAAATTGTCTTCCTTTGCAAAGGCACACACCTAATTGGGGAAGCAAGGGAACCATTGGTTATTATTATAATATCGATTCCCCCGCTTAGAGCCCCGCCCCCCCCCGGACTCCAGATTTGGGACAGAATCTATGGTCAAAGTGGAGAGTCAGGTTCTTTTTTCAAGAAGGCCCTTTCTTGTGATCTGGCTCGGTTTCCTGCTTTTTCTCATTCATTCCGGCAGCTTTAAGAAGTAGAAAAAGGGAGGCTCCGTGTTTTTCCCTGGCGGAGGTTGCCCTTCAGGGGAAAAGCCAGGATCGTGTCTGTTAAATCGGAGGAGCCTTGCCTCAGGCAGTAAGTAGAAGGCCTAAATCCGGAAAGGGGTTAGCGGAAAACGCAGCCCAAAACCACCCCGATTGCGGGGAAACGCAAAACCTTCGTGCATTCCCGCATCCCACTTCCTACAGGTTGAGCTGCAAAATATGCGGTGAAAAAAAACAACCCGTTTTTCCCATACTGTTTGCTCCTCAGCTTTTCACAGCTCCAGTTTTCGCTTTGGATGGTTATTTACACTTACACACACACACACACACACACACACACACACAAAATATACACAAATAGAAAGCCGGCCACGGGCAACCAAATCCAGGAGATGTGCTGACTCCAAGGCATCCAGCCGCCAGCAAACACACCACAGAGAGAGAGAGAGGGGTATGCCCAGAGTCCGGCTTCAAGGCCAACTTCCATTGAAGCTCAGTAGCTAAGAAGTCCCAAAATATAGGCTGAAGGCGACACCTTTTCTCTTTTCCTTCCCCACCAAAAGACACCACATTAACACTGCCAGCTTCTTCGGTCAGGTTAATCTGTCCAGTTCTTCAGACTTATTGTATCTAAATTGGGAAAGTGGGGGAGCGGGGGGGGGGGCGGCGGGGGAGCCAGACTAAAACTGAGCCAAGCCCCCAGTGCTGCGATGGACTGGGACACAAAGTCCTGGACTTTCTCCAAGCTGGCCAGGAATGTGCATCTTCCTGCCCAGCCTTTTCCTTCAAAGGCCCGGGTGTTCTAAGCCAGCCGAGGAGGATAGGGGAGGATAAGCGTGGTAGGGACCAGCATGGTGGGAGTTAGGATTTCGCCGTTTCTTTGACCATCCTCGGGAGTCCGGAGTCGGCCAGCTTTCTGAGAGCCGCTTCTACTTAGAAATGAGTCCCTTTTTTTGCGGTTCGGGAAAATGTGACAGGGCTAGGCCTTCTAGGGTGGGCAGAAACTTTGCCCACGCTGGCTGGATCTGGGTCTGTAACAAGGCAGCGCAGCAGTTCCAGAGGAACCCAGTCGCGCTTCCGGCAATTGGCCGCCGCACGAAGGCGCCTCTTGCAAACGGAGCCCGGCCCGCTAAAGTCCCCTGGGGCAGAAGAGCCCTTTTTTAGGCCACTTCGCCGGACTTGATGGGTCGTGGGATCCAACCCAGCCTTCACTGCTAATATCAGGGTGGCTTTCGAGCCTTCAAAAGGCTCGCGGGGGTTCCCAGAAACTCTGACGGGGCAACGAGCCTCGCCTTAGCCGGTTCCGGAGCGCGATCCCCCAACGCCCCCCACCCACCCACCCCCAGCCCTTCCCGGCGAGGACTTACCTGCACATCCTCCATGCCGGGGTGGCCGATGCCGTGGAGGGAAAGCGCGTCGCCCATGCCGGAGTCCAGGCCATGGTGAGCCGAATGGAGAAGGACGTCTGGCCGCCGGACGGAGTGGTAGTCCCGTCGCGGGTCGAGGCCCGAGAGCTGCGGTAAAGAAGCCCGGGGCTGAGGCAGCAGCGAGCCGGCTTCGGAGCCCACCTCTTGTCGCTGTCGCTGGCCCCAGGGGTGCTGCTGGGGCTGGTGCAGCGGGTTCAGGGCGTAGGGGTCGTTGACGTGGGAGTAAGGATCCTGGCTCTGGTGGTAAGGAAGAGGCTGGTAGGGCGGCGGGAAGTAGGGCGGCTGGAAGTCCGAGGACGGGGTGTGAGAGAGCGGAGGGGCGCTGGAGTAAGGGCCTTGCGAGACCGAGCCCAGCTGGGACAGCCGGGAACTGTGGCTGGGGACTCCATCGTGCCGGTCCTGGAGGGAGCAGTTCAGGCCGCAGGCAGGGATACAAACAAAAGAAGCGGAGAGAAAGAGAGAGGCGTTTTTAAAAAGTCGCCCTGTAGGATTAAAATACAATAACATCCTAAAGGGCTCCTGTTTTCCCCCAATGTAGTGACGTGCCGGTGATGTGCCACCCATAGGAGTCAATCTAAATATTTCCCCGGGATTAATAACCGTTTGTTTCTTATCTTCTCCGCATACATTCAGCTAGAATCCTAACGCACCTAAACGGTCTTTTCAAGCCCAGCCTTCAACTCAAGGGAGGGTGGGGGGGAAATGAGCCATGAGGTTGAGGATGAGGATAAAATGGATTATTTCTTTTTTTTAAAAAAAAAGTTCACCAAAAGGCTTTTTCATTGTACCAGGAAGGGTGATGACAACAATAATAACAACATTATAATGCTGCTTGAGCAAACGGATAGCATATATAAAACCATCGATTGCTTCAGGGGAAAAAAAAAATGAAATGAAAACGTGAGAAGAAATCCACCAAAGGGCCACCCACTCAGGTTTTGGGTGGCAGGACATATGACCAGGAGGCTATAATTCTAAGGGCAGGAAGATATAAAAACAGCATTAACCAAAGAAACTCAACTTCAAAAGGAAAAAAAATGGTCTCCTGGACAAATAAGTCTGTTTTTGGTCCTGATCTCTTTACACTCTCCCCCCAAGTTACATTTGTCTCTGACAGAAAAAAAAAATAAAGAGTATATATTTAAAAAGAGTATATATTAACGATTATCCCTAACGACCTGAAAAAAATAATTAAAATGTCAATGAATATTCTTATAACACTGGTACATAGAATAACTGAAACAAAGCTGCAATTTTAGACTCACACACACAAGAAAATGTAGCTCCTTTTCTTAACAGCGATATCTCCTTCCTCCCCTGAAAAAGTTTCCCCTCACTGATTCCCCCCTCCCCATTCCCAGTTCAAATGAAGAACACACAATGCAAAATGGAGAAGCAGCTGCAAGCGTCTTCCAATTATTGTGCTAAATTACCAAGCCAAAGGCGGTTGAGAGAGAGGGAGGCTAAGAGAGACCGGGAGGAAGAGTGAGAGAGAAGGAATGAAAAGGGGTCTAGAGGCAAGGGCAAGGAGAATAGGGCAATATTAAATCATAACACAGACCCAACTCACCATAGCGGAATAGGTGTGGACTAACATCTGGAAATTTGTTTTAAAAAATCTTGAGACAGGTAAAAATAAAATAGCAGTAGAATACCACTACTACTAATAATAAATTAATATTAATAATTCTAGTAACAAGGAGAGGGGCGGTATCAAGAAAATCTGCAAAGGATCTTGGTGCACCCAGGAGAACAGCTGGAGGTATTTCCGAGTCTATCCATCAAAACCAAAATTTGGAGGAAAATATGTACGGAGGGTGTCTATGGTCACCGAGGAGCGTCCTTGTGTTGGACCCCCCCTCCCCGCTTCCAAAAGCAATCCTCTTCAACCCAAGGCAAGCTTCAGACTGCTCCAGTGCCCCTTTCTCCTTTCCCTTCCCTACGCCGCCTCATAATAATTGATATTCATGACTATTAATATTACACAACTACTTTAAAGGGAGAATGCAAGACCAAATGGAGCGTGAAGGCTTTGCAGGCAGCTCGAGAGCTCCCCTCGTATTGTAAATGACGTTCATTCAGTGGAGAATTACTAGATGTAATCAGACGAGGGGGCTGGCGGAGGCAGAGTTGGGGGAGAGCGAGAGGGAAGGGACAAAAAAGTTAAGCGGGCAAGAGGCAGAACTTCTATTAATTTGAACAGGGGAAGACGTGTAAACGAGGTGCTACTGATCTAAAGCAAGGAAGTGATCTGGAGAAACGCTAGAGGCAAAAAAAGAAAAGAGGGAGAAAATCATATTTCCCTTCTCTCTCCCCCCACCTCTCGGTTTTTTATATTTAATTATAGATTCCAAATACGAAGGAAAATCGATTGCCCTCGGTGCTTTTGTTCTGATTTTTAAAGCAAATAAGAGCTTCTGCAATCTTGTCATTTTTTTTTAACATTTAAAGGCAGCCGAAGCGATTTCTTTACAGAAGCAATTAAGCTTATGAAAAGAAAGGGCAAGAAAGAAGGAAAGAAAGAAAGAAAGAAAGAAAGAAAGAAAGAAAGAAAGAAAGAAATGGAACTCAACCGAACCCTCCTATAAATTGGCAAGGTTTTGCAACGGGCCAGCCAGGGTACCTGAGCGGAGTTTGCGCGCCCGCCCAAGATACATTTACTTTGCCTCTGGCAGCTGCTGTGCCAAAAAGACGCCCAGCAGCCACCTAGGGTCCTAGACCGAGCATGTATGCAATGATTCCAAAGAAAAACCAAATTTATAGTTCTCTGGCAAAGTCAGAGGCGACAGAAAACCTTTCTCAGAGCTGCTGCCCTACCCTGGTAACCGCACCAGAGTTAAAGTCCAACCGAAGGCTGTTTCCTAAAGCCTTCTCGGTCGGCAAAGTTCCACCTCACTTTTCCGGAGAAACTTGGGATACCCGAGTTCTGAAAAATTACCATTACTTTACCCCTATTTAATCCTGCATTTTAAAGCCCTGGCCAATTTGAGGTACGCAGGGAAAGCGTAAGGATTCCCTACGCGAAGGGGGGTGCGTTTACACGCCCGGGCGGGCGCGCACACACACACACATGCACACCTGTCTTCAGAGAAAATTAATGGCACAGTTAGAAAACTCTAAAGGGAGCGATTTTAAGAGTCTTTCTGAGATATTTCGGTCCCTTTCTAGAATTGCCAAGGATCTTTCGATCCATCCAAAGTCAGTTCAACACTATTCGGGTGTGGGGAAAAAAAGAAGGCGAAGTTGACCAAAAAGGAAATACCTCGGCGTAAACTTAGAAACCCTCGCTAGCCGGCTGAAGGATCCATAATTTGATCTTGAAGGGTGGCAGAAATGGAGAGGCAGAACCTTTTGCCTCGCCGGCTCACCTTCCCTCGGATAAAGAAAAACCCAGCTCACTTTGAACCTTGTCTTTAAGTGAGAGTCATTGGGAAGCGGGATGCCGAGGGCAAGAGCCCAGAGAGCGTCGGGGAGGGAAGAGAAGTCTGCAGTTGGGGAAACGGAACAGAACTGAGCACCCTTGCCAGCGCTCCTTTGATCCCCGCCCTGAGGAAGGGCGCTTTAGTTTAGGAAGTCTGGAGAGGTGTCCCGGAGCTGCAAGACAACCGAGTACCGCAGCCTAGCGCCTTGGAGGGAGGCGAGGCGAGGCGAGGCAGTCTCACTTTCTCCCCCAAGTTTAAGCTTTCAAACATTAACTGGTAGGGAGCAAAAGCCGGCGACAGACTTTGAGTTCATTCAGAAAGAAACGGTCAACTTAACTGGCTGGAGGAGACTCGAATCGTCCCGTGGCCTCGGGCGCGACGCTTTCTCCAAGGGCGCCAGCTGGTCGCCCACCCGAAAGAAAAGGGGCTGGGGGAAAACCAACAACCACGACCACCACCCGAAACTTATCCGGAGTCCAAACGTTGAGGGAAATTAGAAAGAAAAGTCTCTTTTTATCAGCCCGGAATGGACGCTACAGCTTAACCTAAGGTGGAACCTAAGCGCTTTAGAGCAAAATGGATTTATTTCGGGGCAGGGCAAATGGAACTGAATGGCAATGCTTGCCCGGTTCGGAGAAAGCCGGGTTTTAGCGCCTGCCAGGTTAGACGAGCGGTTCGAGAGAAAGAGAGCCCAAAGTGAAGGGGAAGTAAGCGAGCCGACTCTCTCTTTTCTCTCGGGCGCGGAAGATGCCTGCCAAGCCAAGGGAGGGGAGGAAAAAAAAAAAAAGAGCCGAGATCACAGCGAGGGCTCTTCTAGCGGGAGGTCTCCGGGGCACGTCTGGACTTGTGCCTTTCCGCCCTACTTCGCGCTGCCTCACAAAGAAAAGCGAGCCCCTTCGGTTCCGCCTTTGTGAAAATATTCAGAAAAAAGGAAGCGTGGCTGGCTGCGGTCTAATCGAATTCCGGTGGATCTAAAGCGAGCGCGGCGCGCTTTACCTGCCAGCTGAGTGCAGCGTGCCTGCCTCTTTCACCTCTTCAGAGGGAGAAGGAAACGAAAGCAATATATATGTGTGTGTGTGTGTGTGTGTGTGAGAGAGAGAGAAAATAAAGTTCCTCTTTGGATCTAAGGCGAGAGGTTAAAAGAAGCCTCCGAAATCCTTTCCCGCTTTGTCCCCCTCCGCCCCGTTTCCCTTTCCCCGGCGCGAGGCAGGCAACTGCGCCAGGACTCCTGGAGTCGAGCGCCCGGCTCGCCTCGGACCCCTTCCTCTGGTTTGCCTTCCCGAGATCTCCACGCCTGCCCCTCCGACTCTTGCCCGGCTCTGTAAATCTTCTTCTGCCCCGCCAAGGTGCCTCCTCTCTCCATACTGACCTCGTAGATGTCTTCGTATTTCACATTTTCCACCAGTTTCCAGAGCATGATGGCGGGCTGTCCTCTAGGAGGTGAGTGCATTCATGTGAAGAGCAGATGTCTGGATTCTCAGGACTTCTCTGTCTGTAATGATCCATCTATAATTGGAAATGGGGGACAGACACCAAATCCGACGTTCCTCTCCCATCGCAACTTATATCTGTTGTCTGAAACAATAGGCTGGAGCAGGAAGCCTCAGACAGAGAGGAAAAATCATTCCCATCTGTGGAGTTTATATAGAACACATAGACATATTGAACACACATAGATTATGCATATAATTACTCACCCACCCTTGGATACGGCTATATGTTCATACACCCCGCGCGCGCACACCCAGGCAAGTTATGAAAAAGAACGCTGGAGATATTTCTGTAGGTAAACACCCCGATGTGTGTGCACACGTTTTGCACACACACACACATATATATATATAAATACATGTAGGTACACACACTCAAGGAAAGGAGCAAATGTGGATCTCAACTTTCTGACCACAAGGAGTGTGTATTGCACACATTTCACTTCTACAGATCGATTTGTTTATGCAGTATATCCAGGCACGCTTTCAAATCATTTAACGGTATAAGTTTATATTATCTGTAATATGCACACATGTATTTCATAGGTGTGAAATTTACAACTAAAAAAAAAAAACCCACACACGCACACCCAGGCAGATACAACACCCAGAATTATTTGTGATGTAAATAAACAAGTTCCTCCTTTTGGGTGAGGTGAGAGAGAAACCGAGTTTTATAAATTCTGATTCACTGACAAATGCAAAGACAAAGGGGCAGCAAGGGTCACAGAGGCGAAAACTGCATCAGTTTACACCGCGTGTCCTTTCGTTTCAGACAGATTTGCTCTCTTTCCTCGGTTGAAAATCAAGGCAGTCCCAAAGACTAGGACCACCCTACTCTGGCCGTATTTAACCCAGGGGAGCTTATTTCAAAGAGTCCTCTCATGAAGCGGTTTTTCTTTGTTTTTTTTTTCTTTTTCTTTTGTTTCCACACTTGCCTGGTCTTTAGAGCGGACGTTTAACGACCTGCACATTTTAAAACGAGCCCCATCTCAGCGAGACAAGCTGGGAAGCTTTCGCCCCTTGCGGAGGGAAAAAGACGAGCCTTGGCTGGGTGCGGGAACAGGCCTTTCCCGCTCGGATTTCAGACACTTTTCGAGAGATTTGCGAGTTCCGCAAAAGCCTCCAAAGTGATTTAGGGGTCCTTTACAAGAGTGAGCTAGCCGTCGGTTTTTCGCCTTCTAGGAAGGGGAAAGGGGTGAGCTACTCAGCGAAGAATCCAGGTGTCCTTGCCCGCCCCAATAACAGTGAGAAATCCAACTTTTTTTTTCTCTCCCTCTCAACCCCCCCTCCCGGTGCCCGTAACCTCAGAATGCACCTTTCCAGCAGGAGCTGTCGGAAAGGGCAGGAGGAGGGAGCAGGTCAGACGCTCTCGCAGCCAGCAGGTAGCTGGAATAAGAGGAGCAAGGCAGGTTGGCCTTTGCACGGAAGTGATGAAAGCTGGGAAGAGGGAGCCGCGGCAGCAAAGCTTGCTGTCTTATAAGCGGGTCTGGGCGGGAGGAGGAGGAGTGGGAGGAAGAAGAGGCGGCGGCGTTAGGACGGGAGCGGCGCAGCCCCGAACACACCGCGCACAGCTTGGCGGGGGGGGGGGGAGAGAAAATAATTTCAGGCTTCCAAGCAGAGCGCATTAATTGGTGAGGAATGGGGGTGAGGAAGGAGAGAATGCACACAGTCTCTCTCTCTCTCTCTCTCTCCCTCCCTCTCCTCTCTCTCCCTCACACACACGGAATGAACGTTTTCCCAAAGCTGACAATATTACAGTAAGTGGAAATCTTCACCCCTGAGCTTCAAATCTGGGTTCTGGCCTCTTCAACTCCTACCGGTACTTACTGGGGAGTTACTCCTGCCGCTTTCAATGGGGCCAACCCCAAATAAGTGGGACTCGCTCCTTGGCACCCGGAACGGAGTCCCCAGTTTTCGAGCTAAGGATCATGACCTTGCCATCGGGCGGCAGAGGACACACTGGAAAAGGGCGATTTGTGGGCCCCCTGTGTGTCCTCCCACACAACCTGCCACACCTTCCACCCGGTTCCGAATCGTTAGCGCGGCTTCTTCTCCGGTTGCAACGGGAGCCGATCCCCTTTTTGGGCTGAGCTGGGGTGCAAAGTGATCCCTGTTGTCCTTGTGGGCGGGGAGGTCAGGTTGGTCCCGTTGGGAAAACCCACGTGCGTAAAAATACTACAAAAAAGGGTAAACCGGATTTGTAACCTTATTGGCTGGTTCGCCAACAAAAGAATAAACCGTTGCCTTTTCCTCCATGAAACTGTGCCCCGGAGGTGCTAAATTTAAGCGTGCGAGCCTTCTGGCTTCCAACCTTTCTCTCTAGAGCCCCGAAGGGGGCCGGGCGGGAAAGGCCCGTTTTGCACTGAAGCAGACAGCTAGTAGTCAGGTCGAACTTCCCCCTGCAGCTCAACTAGACGTGCAGGGCGGTCGAATAGGAAATAGGAGCGTTTAAAGGCTTTAGGCGCGGCAGGGTAGGAAAAACATAGTCCCAATGGAGCAACGCGTTCCGATTCCTCTTCCTTACCCGCCCGGATCACCCTGCAATCTTAACGCGTCGCGAACCTGGGAAGAAATGCCTGGAACGAATTGGGGCTTCCTTCGGACTGGGGTGGGGGGGGGGGGGGGGGGCGCGGGGGGGGGGTGGCGCCTGGGGGAGGGGGGGGGGGGGGGGGGGGGGGGGGCGGGGACGCGCGAATAAAAGGTGGGATTTAAACATATTAAGATCGTAGTAGAGGCACGTTTCCTTGGGACTCCTACCGTATATTCCAAACATCCAAAGCACTGTCCCTAGAATGTGATGTAAGGTGTGGGTAAACGCCAACACACCGTGGAAGGCAATTTAGCCGCGTAGGGTTTAATATGTCAAAGAGAACTTGGCGCGGCGGAAAAAATTAGTCGAGGGAACCTGCCTTTCTACAAAAGGCTACAACAGATCCTCAAACCCCTTATTAAGGGGAAGCTGGAGTGTGAAACTAAGGGGCGGGGGGAGAGACTTGTAATTCAACAGGACAACAGCGCCCTCTATGGGCTCTTACAAGGTGCAAACAGTTGAAACCAACCTTTCGCTTTATTAAATGCGCACCGGGTGTGTGTGTGGGGGGGGGGGGGCGGCGGCAGGAAGCTGTCCTCTATTAGAGGAAAGATTAAAGCAGAGGCCTCCAAACTTGGCAACTTTAAGACTTGTGAACTTCAACTTCCAGAATTCTGGGAGTTGAAGTGCACAAGTCTTAAAATTGCCAAGTTTGAGGACCCCTGGATTAAAGCGAACATGATATTTTAACAATGTCGGGGTGTAAGGCGGTTTGACTAAGTTGGGACTATTTAGATTCAAACCCCTTCCCCGCAAGAGAAGAAGCCAATCCATTTTATCGAGTGGTTTGTTGTGTGTGGGGGGGGGGGACATGGAAGCGGGAGCACTGTGCATGTTGGACTTGCGTCCCTGGGGAACGGGCGGGGTAGAAATCTGACATAGAAACAATATAATGGTACGGCGATCCGAGTTGCAGCCCATGGATGTGGCTGAAGAACATTGGCTTATGTAAAGGTTGGGAGGACCGCTCGTTATTCAGCTGTACTAACCCAAGACACCTGTGGCCGCCATTCCGCAATTCAGCAGCGTCTCTAACGCTCTTTCCTTCGCCCTGTCCCTTACTTTGCGGAAGGATGGAAAAATATTATATTATATTATTATATTATAATATAATATAATATAATATAATATAATATAATATAATATAATAATACAGAGAAAGAGAGAGAGAGAGAGAGCCCGGGGTCACCTGAGCGTTGGGCGTTTAATTCGGCCTCAGTTTTGAAACAATTTCTTTTCGCGCCCTCTGCTGGAGGTCCTAGGCGTTTTCCCGCGCTGCTCTTTGAAACAGTGCGGCTCGATTTTAAATCTCTTACAGATCACGAGAGGATTCGGAGCAATTGTATTCTTCTGTTGTCCAGAAGCTGTATATTTCCTTTTTAGCACGATGGTCCAATTTTGGTTTAACGGAAGCAGGCGCAGGCGTTATCGGAGCTCATCCGATTTAACAGAGCCAAATTTCTAAACTAGTAGCAGGACCTCAGCGCCATTTTTAAAATAACATTTAAAAAAAAAAAATCGAACATCTTAACTACTAAAAATTCCAGAAAATGTAGGAAATAGTGACACTGAAATTTCAACGTGCTTTTCATTCAGAAACATGTATATGTAGGGTGCAAAAATCTGCCACTGGATTGTACACGTACAATTATTTCGTTTAACTTGTATGTCCCTCAATCTTAAACATCTCAGAGTTATTCTTTATATCTTATATTTTTATATGTCATATGATTTTCACAGAAACATAAAATTCATCTGCAAAGTTGATTTTTAGATACAAAATGTTAAAAAGTATTTTAGCAGAAGACATTTAAAAAATTTTTTAAAGGAAGGCTGAGGCTAACGATTAAATGTGTGGGATTGTATAAAATATAGTCTCAAACTCCAGAATCTCCTCTTTCTATTTCAGATAGCAATTCCTTGGATTAAGAATATATTCTCACTTCATTGTATACAATTGAGAAGGGGGTGCATTAGAAATGTGATACAGGGGGTGGACACTGAAAGCAGTGGGAATGGGCTACTTAAGAATGGGATGTGGTGTTGGTATAAAATAAATGTAGGATTTTCTCATGTCTTACTTTTTCAGGAGCTGTCCCATGTAAATCTAGGAGAATAATTCAAGGTGGATATAACTAAAGCACCAGACTGGTTTAAGTATACCAAGAACTGGATGCTCTTCATACCAATCAATCACTGAGCATTTGAATGAACTTTCCAGCTATGAGTCTGATCTCCAAAGTACAACAGCTGACATGGCAGCTTTGCCCCAATTTCCTATTCAATATGCCCTTTCCTTACCAGGATTAAATTTCAATTTGTTTACTCCCGTCCAAATATCCACCACATTTCAAGTGCTGACTCAGAACGTCCATGGAATACAATGGAATTGAAATAGCAATAGCACTTAGACTTATATACCACTTTATAGCGTTTTACAGCCCTCTCTAAGTGGTTTACAGAGTCAGCACATTGCCCCCAACAATCTGGGTCCTCATTTTACCCACCTCCGAAGGATGGAAGGCTGAGTCAACCTTAAATCTGGTGGGATTCGATCTGCCAAATTGTAGGCATCTGGCTGCAGCAGAAGTACCTTGCAGTACTGCACTCTAACCACTACGGCTCCTGTGGAACACCAAACACAGTGGTGTTAGTTTTCAATAGGATGAAAATCCAGTGCCCCCCCACCAAGTATTGAAAAGTAAAAGAGGCCACAAGCACAGGCTAAAGATTAGGTGTGTCCCCCTTAGAACCATTTTATTAGTTATCTCTATAGAAGAAAAGATTTTTGACTGATTATGTCCCATCAAGCGATTCAGCAGTCCTTCCCAAAAGCTGATTCAGAAGATACCATGGGCAATATTTGAAAGTCAAATCATAAATCAAGGCACTGCCTTATCCTGCTCCCACTTTGTAAACCCAGGACCGGATTTTCTGTCCACCACTAAAGCAAACATTCCTGCACAAGAGTTCATGGAATTCATCAATTTTAAATCACTGAGCTGTCTCTGTAAAGGAGATCAGCCTGGAGTTTTCTCCAAATTCCCCATATAGTTATAAGACACTGTAGCCTATTCAATTTAGCAGTTTTTGCTACCTTCTCAAAGCAATTTTGACTGGCACTGCTAATGGCCAAAGAAATTCCGGTACAAAGATATAAAGCCTCTATGAGCTGTTGCAAATGCCAGTCAAGACTGGAAAACCATGCCAAGCATCCTTTGAAGCAAATTACGTTTCTTCTTTGCTTCCATATTGAGAACTGCAATGTCCTGTTCTCTGCAATAAAACATATTTGGGCTAGTGTGTGTATCCCTAGTGTTTATTTTGGAACACTCATAATTATTATGATTATTATTGTGCACAGACAGCTGGATACTTAGACGAGACCAGGCATTGAAATCCTCCTCTGGACATAGGTTAGGCAGGTATTGTTTAATAATAGTAAAGGTAAATAGTAAAGGTATTGTCACATGATGTAAGCTTTCAAATAAAGCTGCTTTTGCAATCAACTCGTGATTTTATTTCAGTGATGCTTCACAGTGGTGATATTTTGGCATTGCACCCAAGGCACATCTATCTTTGCTTTCTTTTGCCCCAGTTGTTCTATTTCTAATTGCAGGTTCGTGTGACACACAGCCCCCCAACAATATTTTGTTTTTCTTCTGCCGTGTCCAAGTACTTCAGTGTCCACTATCCAGATATATTGTTTGGTCCTTCTGATCAATAATTAAGTCTGAGATGTTATGTGGCAGGTTCTTGTTTAAATACTAAGGTCCCAGAGCACTTTAGATTTTTCATATTCTATTACTTTCTCTATTTTGTGGTCTCACCAGTTCTTTGCTTTGCAGGCAAATGGTATTTCTTGCATCCATTCCAATGCACCATATCTGCTATTTTTCCATGCCACTGTTTGTAATCAAACTATATGGTTTTCTTGCAGCAGCTAACTACGTGGTCCACTGTTTCTTTGCCTTTTTGTTTTTTTGCAGAGGCAGCAGTTGCTGTCTTTTGTGGCTCTGTACATATGCGCTCTAAAAAAACAACACCCACAAGAAAAAAATAACAGGACAGTGACCAGCACATCAGCATCAATTTATAATACAAAATAAAGTATTCAGAGAAATAGAAATGGAAGAATTGCTGTGATCTATTCAGAGCTAAGAAACTGAAACTTTGCCAGAAGTAACTCAGAAGCAAACCAGGATAGTTGGTACTTGAGAAAGCCATCATAGCTGTTGAACCCTTTTCATTTCTAAACCAGGCACCCCCTCCTCTTCCTCAGAAAGGACAACAGCATCTACCTACATAAGCAAAAGAAATGGAAACAAAGAATAACTGAGCACCTAAAATAACAGAAAACAACAGAATAAGGTTGACTGCACTGAAACGTGATACAAAGACACAGCTAGACAACTATTAAAAGCGGCGAATGCTGTAATATCAAAAACATGCACTTTGTAAGAAACAAACCATGGCTGAAGTTATAGCTGAATACCTTGGCTGCAAAATCAAAGGAACAGGGTAA